GGCCGGTGCGGGGCTGGGGGCGGGGGAGGTAGAGGACGAGCTGACGCCCCCCGCGCACCGCCGCCTCGCCAAGTCCTTCAGCGTGGCGTCGCGGCCGCGCGACAAGCTTGCCGAACGAAGTATGCATTACGTTTTCAACCTTGTGACTAATTTGTTTAGGTTTGTTTTAGCTTGCTGAAATAATGTTGGCGTTGTTCGGTCGCCTGCATGCAGTTTTCGACCTTATGTTCAATGTGTTGTAATTTGTTTTAGCTCGGTTGACGTTAGCGAATGTGGTTACGTTGTTAGCATGCAGTTTTAAACCCTGTTCATAATACTGTAAAGTTCATTATAGGTTGTTGTGTTAATATTGTGTTTAGTTTTTGTCTGCATGCCGCTTTCTACTTCATCTGATTGTAATATGTTTCAAAATTGTCAATAATCTCATTGGGCTTTTTCACCAAAGAGCTGCTTTATTTTAATCATGATGGAATTTAAACCTTATGCTCATGGTAATAAAGTTTAGTATAGCAATTATAAATTTAATCGGCTTTTTTATACGCCTGGTGTTGTTTCCTAAAATGCTTTATCATTTCTTTGCTTGAATTAACCTTTTTCAAATACTTTCGTTTTCTTTTCTCTTTGTATAAATTATTTGCGCTTATGTGTTTTTTATAAATATTTTATGAAAGTTTAGAATATTCTAGAAAAACCTCGAATCTTGCAGGCACGCCGCGCTCCTCATTGATCGGTTTGACCGGCAGTCGACCGCCTAGCGTTGTTCCTACCACACCACCCAATTCTATCTCCTCACAAGGTAATTAATTAATATTAAACCCTATTACAAAGGTTATATGGTTGTTTATTGAATACTTCACATTACTATGAAATGCTTTAAATAATAATGAGTTTTTTGCGGCAGTGATAAATCAAATTAACCCTTATTGTGAGTACCATAAAGTGCAATTTGTCGTGTTTCATAGTGGGCGAGACAGAGAAACCTCCGTTGACTCCGTTACGGCCAAAGGTGAACTCCATCTTCCATTTGTTCGGCGAATGGTTATTTGAAGCGGCACTTATTGGTACTACACCTAATTATAATACTAATCAACGTAAGTATATTTTAGTTCAGTTTTTGGTTCGATTTAGTAACTGTTTTAACTCTACGGGCGCCCTCTTTTTTACCATACCTTTGGAAATGGGAGGGTGGCGTAATATATTTAATTCGCATATATGTGTCGCCCTTTTTTGTTTACGAGCCTAGGGCGGTCGCCAAACCGCGCCTTTTTATGACGGCGGCCCTGGTTTCCTAAAGGGCCACCAACGATGAGAAATGACATATCCATATTATTTCTACAGCTCGATCTGAAGGCACTCCACCTCCGCCGTCGCTGTCTGACGCCACGCACAGGCTGAACATGATGAGCTATCAACCAGGTAAGCATTACACAGGAAAAAAGCCAGCAGTTTGAATTTCTAGTCTACCATTTCATTTTCTGACAGATAATAAGCGTTTTGCTTTCTCCCGATCGGAATGTGAGGGAGTCGCGAATTAATTTGAATAAGTTGGTCGGATTGCCACACTTAAAATGTTCTTTGTTATGAAAAATGTACACTAAGGGACTGTTTAAGCATTAAACTATGTAAGAATTAGTTGATAATGTGTTATATTTGTGACGTGAGGTCGTGCGGTGGCTCTGGGCACGCTGTGCCGTGTGATCTGCTCGAAGCAGTGCCGCGAGGAGGTGGTGGCGCCGTACTTAGCGCGTACGTACGCGGCGCTGCAGCGCGGCCTGCGTGACCCCGCCACCGCCGCCGCTATTGTACTCGATGCAGCGGATATATTCAGGTATGCGGGTCAATTTATACTGGTCTACCTGAAGGAGAAATATGGTGTACTAAACGTTGAAAACAAAAATGTATTTTTATTTAAAACACAATTTTTTATGAGATGCACATTTGAGGCGTGTCTTCTGTATGGTCGTGGTATTGCAGCGGGTTCGACAACTTATTACAGGTTGGACCTGGACGGTGTGCTGGTGTTGGTGCCAGACTTCATCACCGCTTTGGACCTTATTCTGTCGGAGAGAGAGCCCAAAATTGACTGCGGATCTATAGACAAGCGCGAGTTGAGGAAAGCTGCCATCAGCCTTTTGCTGTCTCTCGTTGCTTTCCCGTACCATTACAGAGGTCTGGCTGTCCCCGAGTTTCCTGGATGTAATGAATAGTAAGTCTAGATTTAAGTTAATAAAATTTGATAATTATCTTTGACTTTTGATTAAATTGTAAAAGTAGAGATGTTTATAACAGAATATATATCTTATTTATGTTTTTAATGACACTTTCCAACTCAGTGCTGGTATGACGATTGGTGACTACGCAAGAGGTAAACTGTCACTTATCTGCGTGTCGGCGGTGCAAGTGGAAACATCCGAGGCATTAGCAGTGCCGTTGCTCAGCGCACTATATCTGTGCGTGCGGCACAACGCTTACGTCACCAACACCAAGTCGCACAGCGCGCCGCCCGGCTCCACTATGTCGCACAGCACAGAGTATAAAGGTAACTGTCAAACTGACAGCTGTCACACTGGCAAAGATTAGCGAATCAATCAAACTTTCAACTAATTTTTGTTTTTTTCTTTTATAAAATAAAATAAAATAAATAATGTAAAATATATTTAAACTTTTTAAAGAATTACCAATACATCACTTTCACTGCTTTCACAAAGACATTTTGGAAAACACAGCATTTGCTTCATTTTGTTTTGCGTGTGTTATTTTTTTACACATTTGGACCTAGGCTACTCGAAATATTAGAGAAATTCCACAAAAAGACAGAGGTTTTATTAGTTAATATTTTGCTATTGTAACTCTAATAATCACAATTACTCTAGCAACGATATTTACTGGTTAAAGGGATAATTATTTGGCTTTAAATATGTATACAATAAAAAATAACATTTTGTTTTTAATGATTTATTTATCTACTCTATTACATTTCTTAAATTTCCTCAGTGAAATGTTCATATTAGCAAACAAACAGTGGAATTAGGACTTACTGGTTAAACGATAAATAAAGAAGTTGCTATCCAAAAAAAAAATTGGGTAGTTCCTTTGGGGTTGTGTAGTGCGTACGTTTCTAGCGCACTCTGACGGCGGGCGCGGCGACCACGCGCAGGACGACTACGCCGCTGACGTTAGGGACCTTGACCCATCGTCGCCTGTTTTCGGTAATTTGTACTTTATTTTGCCACACATAGGAGTGATATTTAGATGAAACCATAAAATTCTACTGACGTAACATATTGTTGTCTCTTTTTTTGTCAAAGAGTGAGAGGGATGACTATATATTTCTATAGACCATATCTAAATATAACTTTTTAACAACGTTGTTTCTGTATTTATATTGTAACGAATTTAATCTTTTTTTGAAATGTTCTTTCTCAGAAGCAATGTTGTCGCTTTTTTTTTATTAAGTTTTACGTTGTTATAGCTTGCCTGTTATTTTATTCATTGTCGCAGTTTAGTTTTATCACATCTGATATAGTTAAATGTTATTCTTCTGAATACTTTATAATAATACTTAATGTCGATACAAAGAAGGTTTTATATGTGATCGTAAATGTTAGTTTATTGTAAAACTACTAATGATTTTAGTACTAGTTATTATAAGTGCTTGGGTATGTCAGGTGCCGCTTTAGTGGTGCGGGCGACCTACCTAGTGTGCCACAGGCTGATCTCCTCCTGGAAGGGTGACTTACAAGTGTCCCTCGCGGCTTTGGAACTGCTCTCCGGTCTCGCTAAACTACACTCTGTCAAGCCTGGTAAGATTTAATTGAGCTTTTTATTATCTAATTATGTACTTTTGTCATAAATATTGATGTTTTTTAATCCCTTTCATGCTGTTCAGAATTTGTCATTGGTACGTTATACTTATACGTTTTCTTACTTATACTTTAACTAACAGTACCCCAAACCATGAGTTTCTGGGTCTAAAGACTCTGTATATAACATATCGTCATCCCTGTCATTATCTTTGATGAAACAGAGATAACTATACTAAACGGAGATAATGTTCTCAGAAAGCCACAGTAAGGGACTGTGTGCGTGTGAAGTGCGGCAATGTGTGTATGTGTGTGTGTGTGTACAGAGGCGATAGAGCGGAAGCGCGCAGTGCGTTGGATCTGCGACTACATATCGGTGCAGTGCGGGCGGCCCCCGCAGGCGCACTCGCGGGACCTGCACTCGTGCGTGGTGGCGGCGTACCACTGCCTGGCGGCCTGGCTCTGCCCCGCGCTGCTCGCAGACACCGACTGCCTCACCGCACTCATGGAGGTCGTCGAACTCGGCATATCCGGCTCCAAGAGTCACGGTCAGTTTTTACTCATGAATGTACAAGGGGTGGGGCTTGTAATAGGGAAGTAGGCGGTACCCTACTTTGTTACTACCCTCTCCTTGGTTGCAATGTTATATTTTTTAACAATAAAGTACCATTAATTTTTATGATATTTAATGTTTATGTCAGTGTAATAATTTCTATATGTATAGGTAAACCTGGTGAGCCGCCAAAGATGAAAGACGAAAAGGAACTGAAACCAGTGTCGATGAGAGTACGAGACGCCGCAGAATCACTTCTGATGTTGATTTTAGAACAGGTAAATAACAAACATGTATAATATGTTTTATAAATAATTAGTGTTAATTTGATTTATTAAAGGTATTACTTCCATTGCAATATATTTGTAAGAGTTTCCAATATATTAATAAATTATTTTGGTCCTTGATGTCGGATGTTTGATTGTAATGTATGGTAGGGTGGTGGAGGCAGCTGGTGCAGGCTGGACGAGCGCTGGCTGGAGGCGCTGGGGCACGGCGCGCTGCGACACTTCGCGGCTGATGGCGGAGCTCTGCTCTCGCTGCTCGAGGAGCCCCTCGCCAACAGCCAGGAACCGCAGCCCACACTCGTCGGTATGATATACTACTTCTCATATTAAATCTATACTTAGGAATGTCGTTAACTACTATGAGTGAGGCATTTAATATATTCAAGTTCCTTTAATTGTAATTGCAACAGACGATTCATACCAATACTTTTAGCTAAAAATATTAAATCTATTTGTTCACAGTTAGACAATGTGAAACACGTGGACAAATTTATGGGCGAAGATGTAGTCATAGTTGACGAATAAAAATTCATCATACATAATTGGCTGGATATCTTACTATTGTAAACGCGAATGTTTAGATGTATGGATGTTTGTTTGAAGGTATCTCCGGAACGCCTGAAATGAATGCATCTCACTGAAATTTGACATTTTTTTTTTAAATTCAGCTTAAAAAAAAAGACGGCTAGTACTGATTTCATATTTGAAATACGTTGTAGCATTTTTTTAATTAGTAACAATGTATATTTGCAGTGATACTTCGTTGTGGTTGGGGTCGGTACGCGTGGTCGTTGTCAGTGCGAGGTGCTCCGCGCTGCGCTCAGCGGGGCGCGGCGAGCTGCGCGCGCCCGGTCAACATGCTGGAGCCCCCGCCCCGCGCCCCGCCCCTCTGCCGGCCCCTGCCCGCCTCCCCGCCCTGCGCCGTGTCAGTACACGCCCATACACTGCGATATACATAACATTTTCATATATATAATATCATGATTCTTTATATTCATGTATAGGTCCCACTTGGCCAGCGTGGTTGACTATGGCCTAGTCACCCCCAACATAGGGTAGGCTCCGAGCCCTTTAGTGGGGGACTTATAGTGAGATGATGATGAATGAATGAATAGATTAAAAATATTAAAGAAATAATTAAGTTTAAAATAAAGTAATCATTAAAAAACCAAATATGCTCTAGATAATTTAACAATTTCTCAATTTGTGTACTAAAATGTACTTTATAGAACTTTTGAACTCATTTACCTTTTTACGCTATAAAGCTCAGTTTATTCCTAACACTTGTGATGTAATGCTTGAATTAAATAATTGTGATATATTGCAGTGACTCTGCGTTCCCGAGCCTGGAGGCTGTACTGCGTCAGTTGAACGACCCTGACGCACCTGTGCTGTTCAAACTGCTCGAGCAACAGGCTGCCATTGAAAAACGCGTCAAAGACAATGAGGATAATGACGTAAGTTACTCCTTAATCTTGCTGCCAGTCTCCTAATTAAAACGTTTAATTAAGACTCAATATATTTATTTTAATCTGGCGCTAAAATTGATTTCCACATAAAGGCATAGTTTAGAATTTTGATGTAAGATTTGTAAAGACTTACAGCGCCACCTAGTGGTAGTGGTATGTTAGGTTGTAATGTTTGTGTACGTGCAGTCTGCGGCGGAGTGCGCGCCGCCCGAACCCGTGACGGAGTTCCAGACGGCGCGCCTCTTCCTCTCGCACTTCGGATATCTCAACATCGGCGGTGACAAGAAGGTACACAAGCTGAACAGTTGTAGGAAATGCAAGACGATAGGGGAAAAGGAACCTAAATAATTTACAATGTATATTTATCTTGGAATTTGATGGCGCGTAGTAGACAGTGCCGCTCACTCAAACGTTCAAGAAAAGGTCCATCGTAACAGAATCCTGCTCACTTAAACGTGGGATTACGTCTGAACGACCCAATAAATATGAACATAAATAGAACCCGTGCGGATCCCAGGCTATTTTTAACCGCGGTTTCTAACAAGGTAACATTATTGAATATGTTAGGGCTGTGCCCCCCGGCTGACTGCATTAGACAGCTCAGCACCGGGCTTCCACTCCGCGCTGCGTCGTCTGGACGCGACAGGCAGCCGCGCGGCGCTCACCGTGCACGTGCTGTACGCGCGCGCCGGACAGCGACACGCCCACGACATCGTCGCCAACGCCCACCGCACAGACCTCGCCCCCGCATACATCAACATGCTGCGCGGGTAACTTCCCCATGCCAACGCCATCGCTTTTGATTTTCACACCAATTTCTAAACAAATATTTTATACCGTTTACCGTTGGTTTCTAAGCCCAAAATCTTCGTTTAGATCATTGTTATCTCTGTGTTGTCATGATAATGACAGAGATGACGATATGTTTTATACAGAGATATTGGTCTTAGAAAACCACGGTCGTAAACTCATCCTCCAAAATGTAGATTTATTACTACAAATGTTTACTAGGTATCCCCCTTACCACTCAAATAGTAGCTGATTATGTAAGTTTGACTTAAGAGTACATTTAACATATGCATTTTAAATTATTTTTCAGTTTGTCTAGTTTAGTAATAAACATTTTAATTGCAAAATAATTATATCAAGAAGAGTTAATATTAAGATTGAATTGATGGTGTATGTCAGTTTGGGGCGTGGCGTGTGCGTGCGCGGGCACGCGGGGTGGGCGGGGCACGTGCGCGGCAGCTACGATGCGCGCGCGCCGCCTCGCCCCGCCCCCAGACCCGCACAGAATAATGACAACCCGCCCCCCGCTATATACGATGGCACACAACAGGTCTGTTTTACATTAACTATACCTTTTTGCAAATTTTATATGTTAAAAAGTACATTTTACATCTTAAAATTTTATTTCTGGCTATATAATATTATTTTAGATATTGTACTGGTCGGATTCCACTGACGAGATAGCATTCGTGGTGCCCTCTGGTAACGAGATCCTGGAGACGGAGGAGAAGCCCGGACAAAGCAACAGCCTCAAGTCATATGTAGACGGACCATGTGCATCCACTTGGTAAGCTTATATGCAGTTAAAAGATTTATTTTGAAAAATGTGAGAGAGTGTTATTATTTGCATTGCATTACTATACAATTACTATGTTGAAGATTTTTTTTTTAAATTGACGATTATTTAGAATGCTGTATGATAAATTTTTAACTATTAGAAAAAAACTATTAAAAAATAGTACGCAACATTGTTGGCTATCGTCACTGTATTGGGCTATGCCCAGCAGTGGACAGAGAGAGGGTGATGAGGATGTGTTGGTGCAGCAGCAAGGGCGTGTCCGCGTGCGTGTCGGGGTGGGAGTCGTGCGGCGCGCCGGCGTACGCGCGCAGTGTGAGCGAGTGCGAGC